CTGTTGCTGCTGGAAACTGGGGTCTCCTACCTCCCACCCCCCACCGTTCACAGATCAGAGCCAAAACCCCCTGGGCAGTGAGGCTGGGAGAGGTTCCTTCACTTCTCCCACCTCCAAGTGCTGCTTTTTGCAGCCCCAGCCACTCTTGCTCTTGCCCATCACCTTCAGAAACCCAACAAAATCCATCCCACGGGTGGGGAATTGGTTATTTTACCATTTTCTCTTTCCTTTGCTGAGGAAGGAGCTTCATTAGGGCTTCATGGAGAAGACAACTATGACCCAGCCATGCATCCCACAGCTCCAAACAACGGGATTCCCTCCTCCCTGTCGCCTCCAGTCTCAGTCCAACTGCTCTGGCTCCCTGGGCCTGCCCCATCTTCTCTTTCCAGGTACCTGGATTGAGAAAGAGGGTCTGGAAAGATTAAATTTTATATGTTAAGTTATAGCAATAGGGGGAAATGGGAGGGGGGGGAGAGGTGCAGGGCAGGGGTTGTACAATGGCTCAGAATAGGTTGAATTTTTTTAAAAAGAAAATGTAAAGTATTTTGGTTGATTCACTGAGAAAGAGAAGGAGGAAAAAGAGCTGTAATCTTTTAACATTTGGAATAAATTGTGTTTTGATAAAGCCTGGGGTTTTCCTGTAGCTCGGAGGGGGGTGGGGAGGATCAGATCTGAGAGGAGGGCCAGGAAGGGCTCCTGTCCCCTCCTGTCCCCTCCTGCCACCTCTCCATAACCCCTGCTCCATTCCTGTGCCTGAGCTGCCAGCTCAGCCCTGGCACCTGCACCAAGGTGGCCCTGGGAGGGGATCCCAGGGATGGGCAGAGGCTCAGAGCACCCTCCAGCCCCTCCTGGGGGGCAGATGGGGACAAGCTGAGGACACCTTGGCCTCCTCCACCCCTTCCAAGGGGCTGCTGTGACCACCGTGGCTTGGGACCGGTCCTCCTAGGAATGGGTTGAGGTGGGTGCCCGCTTTGCAGGGGTGTAGGGGCCACCCTTGGGTGCTGCCAAGGTGCCAGGCTGGGCACACGTGCAGTTGTGGGACGTGGCCACGGGATGGCAGCAGGAGAAGGGGCTGGGGGCTGCTGGACAGGGAGGAGTGGGACAGGGAGAAGGGGTGGGCACCGTGGGATGTCCCTGAACCTGTGAACCCCCATTCCTGGTGCATTTGGGCTTCCAGGGGCACGGCCAAGCCCACTGGCACGGCTGGAAGGTGCTGGGCACATCCTGGAGTGCTCACAGTGGCTGTTGGAGCTGAGCTGGACACGTGTCCAGGGCCCAGCCTGGCACCCACGTGTGGATTTCCACATCCTGCTGTGAGCAGAGCCCTCGTGGTCTCATTAATTAGTCTGGGAGGCAGCAGGTTCCTTAATGAGCCTCCAGCCAGGGATGGGCTGTGGGGGGTCAGTGGTGGGTACTGGGAGCAGCAACTTGTGCCCCCTACTCCTGTGTCTTTTGGGCTGGGAAGGATGAGCTTTGCTTTGCAGCTGGGGACAGCAGCAGTGGAGAACGGGCTGGGGTCCAGCCTGAGGTTGGGGGTGCTGCAGGCACCCACCTCCCTCACCACTAAAGGCTGGGTTTGTGTTTGGTGGTCATGGTGCTGGGGTGGCAAAGATGGCAAAGGGCTTTTTTCTTCTTCCTCCATGCAAGTGAGGTGGGGGTCGGGCTCTGCTCCCAAGGAACAAGGGACAGGACAAGAGGAAACAGCCTCAAGTTGCCCAGGGGAGGTTGAGGTTGGAGCTGAGGAACAATTTCTTCCCCTGGAGGGTTGCCCAGGGCTGTGCCAGGCTGCCCAGGGCAGTGGTGGAGTCCCCACCCCTGGAGGGGTTTCCAAGCTGTGGAGCTGTGGTGTGAGGGACACGGGGCAGTGGGGACCTGGCAGTGCTGGGGGTGGTTGGACTCCAGGATCTGAAAGGTCCCTTCCAACCCAAACAATTCTCTGATTCCCAGTCCTGGTCAATTCTTCTGAGAGCAAACACCCACCCAGACTCTTGGCCAAGGGCTGGTTTGTCCCTTCTGGGTAACAACCCTAAGGGTCAGCTCCTGCTTGTCCTGCCCAACCTAACGCCAAATTTCCCTGCAGTGTGTGAGCCAGGACCCCCCATACCAGTTCTCCCAGTGCTCCCATTTGCTCCCCATCCCCTTCGCATGGGCAGGTTTTGCATCCACCCCCCAAATCTGGGCAATTTCCAGCAGGACCCGGCTGGTGGTACCATCCAGGGCCAGATCCTGCCAGGAGCTGATGGAACTCCCTCCTCCACCTCCTGCAGCTGGGGACAAAACCTCGTATGGTTCCTAAATCCCATGGGATCCTTCCCATCCACCTCCCTCAAGGGGCTGATCCTGCTCCTGGGAGGGGGAGAACAGCCCCTGGTGGGGAGGGAGCCTGTTGGTATTGTTAAGAAACAGGGCTGAGGAGAACAATAGGGCTTAAAATATTCGGAGCTGATGAATCAGCCGCTTGCCTTGGGAGCTGGAGTGACACTTCAATGGGAAGTTGCTGGAAACTGGGGGAAGGATGAGCCCCCACCAGGGGGGAGAGGGTGGGCGAAGGAAAACGGCTTCATTGAGGAAAGGGAAACGTCTCATTAACGAGGTTTTGCGCTGGCGGAGCGAGGGGGTGGATTTTGGAGGGGGGAGGAGGAGGAATTTGGGTCCTGGGGTGGGGTTTGGGGAGGGATTTTTGGCTGTGCCAGGGTCCGACCTCATCGGGTGGTGGAGATGTTCCACTAGGGGCACAGCCAGAGCCCTGCCCGTTGCTGGGGGGGTCCCTGCTCCCAATTCCCATCTGTTGCTGTTCCGAGGCTTTTAATTTCCAGACAAAAGATGGGAACGTGGGATTTGGGGCTTTTAGGAGCTGCAGAGGATGAACTCTGGTGTCGTGAGGCTCTTGGGCCTCTGGAATAAATGCAATTTGGGGTGGGGGGAGGGTGTTTGTTGTGGGGATTTATTTTCTTGGTGGGGGGAGTGTGTTTGTTGTGGATATTTATTTTCTTGGTGGGGGGAGTGTGTTTGTTGTGGATATTTATTTTCTTGGGTTTGAACATTGCTTTTTTGGCTGCAAAAAATCGACCTGTGTAGGGTCTGCCAGGAGGGAATGGCATCTTCCAGAGGGTTTGGGGGATACTGAGTGGATTTCTTGTCCTCCTTTTCCTGCCTCAAAGAGGAAACGAGGTTTAATTATCGCTGAGCCGCTGCTGTCGGGGCTGTGTGGGGAACTGGCTAATTAAACAGGCTGCTGGGGGGCTTTAATGAAGGGCCTGCAGGCAGAGGAGTGAGCATGGTCACTGGGTGGTCTCACCTCCCTGAACCCTGCCATTAAGGCTGGGAACCTGGCCAGTATATCCCAGTATAACTGGGGTGTGCAATGGGCTGGTGTGGCTCCAGGTAGAGGAGCGTGTCGGGTCTCTTGGGGCTGAGAATTGGGTTGAAAGAGGGATGAGTGGAGCTCTCTGCTCCCTCCCAGACCTGCTGGAGTCCTGGTTTGTCTCCTTCAGCAGGCCAAAAATAGAGAAAACATCTCACCTGGCTCAGGAGACCCCTTGGGAGCTGGGGCACAGGAGCTCCCCCCAGACCCCAACCACCCCCTGGGCTCTGCGTGTTCCTCCCAGTCCAATTTGGGCAGGGGATGAAACAGCAAAGTTGAGCAGAATTTCTGACTCTGAAAGGAGGGGAGGGAGGGAAATCTCTATTCATTATTCATTATTCATAGGGCTGTTGGGCTTTTTTTTCTTTTAAAATGATGAATTGCAAGTTAAGAAGTGTCTCTTCAGGACTGAGAGCCTGAATCCACCCCGGGCTGCTCGGGAAGGAGGGTGGTGGGAGATGATAGCACCAGGAAAGGCAGAGTTGCTCATTTCCATATGCATAATAATGCAATTACAAAGTCAGCCCAAACCTGGGGTGCAGACAGAGAACCAGGCAGCTTCCTAATTAATCACGTGTCAGAAGAAAGCCTGTTACATCAGGGGTCGTTATTTGGTGGATTAATTAAAGGAAAATAAGGTTTTCTGCAGCAGGAAATGTGTTCTGGGGCTGCCAAGAGCCTCTGGAAGCTGCTGGAGGTGCAGGGTGGGTCCTGTGTGCTGGCACAGGTCACCACATCATTCCCTGGGCTGGCTGCTGGTTTAACTGGGCTGGGAAGTTGCTGGAGGTGGCACCTGGATTCATTTCCCCAGGGTGCTGGATGATAGAGAGAGGGGTCTTGGGGAGGTGCTGGAGCAGTGACACCCCTGCTAGAAGCCACCTCCATGCTGGAAACCTGGTTTTTGTGTCTACCTCGTGCTCTTGACTCTCCTCCTGCTCTTTGGGAACTCACCAGACGCTTCACAGAGGCACATGGAGAAGTAAGAAATGCTTCCAAAGCAGAAGTCTCATTAAGC